TCTGTTGGTTCTTTTGGCAGCCCATGGCACTTTCAATATTCTCCTCCAACACCATAACTCAAAAGCATCAATTCTTCTACAGTCTTCCTTATTCACAGTCCAGCTTTCGCATGCATATGAGATTATTGAAAATACCATGGCTTGGGTCAGGCGCACCGAGGCATAAAACTTAGCAGCTTGCCAACTTCCTTTTCTTGAGCGCAAACCAGTATCACCTGGCGTAAACCAGTATCACCTGGCGTAAACCAGTATCACCTGGCGCATACCAGTATCACCTGGTGGGCTTGTTAAAACAAGCTGTAGGGCCCCAAGGCTCAGAACAGAATTTGCATTTCTAATATATTCCCTGATGATAATGCTAGTCTGGGTCCACACTTTCAGAACACTATCACCTAGAAAACACGCTACGTTTTCAACCATCCAGTCTTAATATTCTAACTTAATGCTCTAGGTTTTTTTAAAACACAGCTTAACATTCTTAACTTTTTAAACTCAATTTGGATATGGGAATTTGGAGGATAAAAATCGTCACAACTACGTTGCTGACTGTATTTCTTCAAATTATGTTTAAAATTTTCAGAGATAACCGATGGCAACAAAATTCAATGCTCGTTCAGGTCTTGTTTTGCTCTAGCTTGTCCCATTCTCTAAGCCGCTCTTTGAAATGTACAACGAAACAGCATCCTTGGGGCTACCGAAGATAAGGCAGCCCACTGTCCCGACAGATAAGGAGGCAGGTCTCGCCCGCCCATCACAGTAAACGTCCAGTTCCCAAGTCACAGCACAGGTCTGAACCGCCCAACGCCCGCGGCCTCCCTCGGCTCGGAAACCTAACCCGCAACCCCGCCCGTCCGCCCACCAACACAACAAACACACCCGACCACGCATACTCACGCCTCCGGTCACCCGCCAGCTTCTCCAAGAAGACACCTGCCCAGGTGGGCCGGAGAAGATGGCGAGCAGTCTACCGGAGACACGAAGCGTTTCCGAGCGCGCAGAGCCTCTAGCGCCCCTACATCGATTCGCTCGGCCCACGACTGTGAGTCCTTTCTGAGCATGCAACTGATTGGTCTGCCGAGGGGGTGGGGCCTGAGGGCGGGGCCAGCCTTTGCTTGTTAGTTCAGAGCAAGGGTACACTGTCTCTAGATGAAATCTTCACGTTGAACTCAAGTTGTTAAGTGCCATGGCGTCGGCTCCAAGTATAGGGTTTGCGAGGAGTAACCAGAGGATCTGAACCGCGACCTTGTGGTTAGAAGTCCAGTGCTTATCCTACAGCGCCACACTAGGACTCTAAATTCGACTATATAAGCCTCATACGAATGAAATATTAATTTATTTTATAAATTCAGGTTTAACATTTGCAGTAAAAAAAAAAAAAAAAAAACCTATTTTGAATATAGATTTTTTTTTTTAAATGGGAGATAAAGGATAACTGTCGTCTTATATTTGGGGAGCACGGAAGGTGCAGATTGCAATATGGCATTTCTGTAAAATTTGTCTTTGTCTGCTGATCTTGCAATCTCAGGAAACTCAGATGTCCACAAAAGTTAACTGGGAACAAATTTTGAAGTGTTAAAATATGTTGTATAATTCAGTGCACTGCAGGGTGCATGTAATTTTTTAAATAAAAATTTTTTTAAAAAATAAAATTCTAATCAGAACTCTGAAGCTACCTCAGAAGTTAATCTCTGTATTACCTCCCCAACCTAACCCCCACAACTTCCTTCCCCACATCACCAGTTAAGGTTTCCAAGAGTGCACATTACTTCAGTCTTCTCATTACTTTACCCAAATCTCCAAGAGTTTATTCAATTGAAGAGAAAAGAAGTCCCAAGACAGAATACAACATGGGTGAACCTTGAAAACTTGCTGACTGAAGTAAATCTATTTTGAAGGGATAAATATTGTATAAGCTCACTGGTACAAAATAAGAAGAACAGGCAAATATAAACCAAAGTTTATTAGAGGTTGGCAGGGGTTGGTGTAGCACTGTAGGATCAGCACAGGACTGCAAACTGCAAAGTCTATGGTTCAAACCTAGCAGCCACCCTTTGGAAATCCAGTGCAGGGTTGCTGTGAGTTGGAACCAACTCCCAACTCGATGGCAAACAACAAAAGCAAGGGGTAGAAGGGAGGGGAGGAAGTGGAATCATGGTTTAGGAAGCTGTGTCTGGTTATGGTAATGAGAATGGATGATATTTACACAATATGATTAATGTAATTGATATCTTTGAATTGTATACCTGGAAAATGTTGAACTGGCAGATGCTGAGTTGCATGTGTTTTTACAATAATAAAGATGTCAGGTTAAAAAAAAAAAAATCCAGTATTCAATTACCATGCACAGAAGGGGAAGCCCTGGGTGGCACAAATGGTTAATCATTTGACTATTGGCAGAAAGTTTGGCAATTCAAACCCACCCAGGAGATGTTCAGAAGACAAGCCTAACAATCTGCTTCTGAAAGGAAATCTTATGTAACAGCTCTACTCTACACACAGGGGTTACCATGAGTCCGAGTCCACTCCAAGGCATCGAATGCAAATACATGCCCAAGGTAGTGTGGAGAACATGGGAAAAGGACACACAGGACTGGATATTATCTAATTTCTGGTTCTTATTATAACATACAAGAGTTCTGGTAGAGTAGGGGTTATGAGTCAGGCTGAGGGGGCTGCTAACCTCAAGGTCAGCAGTTGGAAAACACCTGCTGTTCCACGGGAGAAAGATGAAGGTTTCTGCTCCCATAAAGATTTACAGCCTCAGAAACCCTGTACAGGGTCGCTATGAGTCGGAACTGACTCCGCAACACACCACTACCATTTTAATGTTCCGCAGTAAGAGAAATGAATTCCATACCCCGTATATAAACCGTAAACCAAACCCAGAGCAGTCGAGTCAATTGGATTCATAGTGATCCTGTGTAGGGTTTCCGTCACTGTAAATATTTATGGAAGCAGAAAGCCTTCTCTTTCTCTTGCAGAGCTGCTGGTGGGTTTAAACTCCAACCTTTCAGTGACCAGTCCATTGTTTATCCTACAACGCCACCAGGGCTCCACCCCGCATCTGGTGGTGGTGGTGGTATGCTGTGGAATAGGTTCCACAGCACAGGGTTTCCAAGGCTGTAAATCTTTATCGGAGCAGAAAACTTCATCTTTCTCCCATACCCTGTATCTAGGAAGATCTTAAAAGTTTTCTATCTTAAAGTGAAGGTTGAATACATTATTTTATGAACTTTTTCATCAGAAGTTGAGCTGCTCTATATCAAGCAATTGCCTTTTTAAACTTAATACTAATGGTCTGCTAATAACTAAAATATGTAAAATTGACAAGGAAAATAAACTAAAGAAGATAAGTTCTGGCCTCCTTTAACAAAAGTCTCTGTTGTGTACCTGAGATGTAGGAAAATTGTGTACATACTGAATAAATTTCATTTCTTTCTAAAGCACCCAATTCAACATACTTGTCATCTAAATTAGAATTTATACATTTTCCAGGCCTTATTAATCAACTTTCACAATATATGCTGGATAGAAAATATCTCTAAATTACGAATAACAGGCACAGTGTTACTCATTTACCAAGGGACAAAAAGCAAGTTATTGGAAGAACTTAGGAAAAAACATAAGAAACTGAATATGGAGTTCATCCATTGGACCACACTACCTCCAAGTTAACTTGAAACATAATACTTGAAAAAAACACACACAAAAAAAAACCACTAACTTGAGCCAACCACACTGAGTGATATGGATTGAATTGTGTCCCTAACATATGTATTGAAGCCCTGGTCCCTGTACTTGTAGATATGGTCCTGTTTGAAAATAGGGTTTTTCCTTTGTTGTGTTGGTGAGGCATACCAGAGCCAGGTTAAGTACAATGAAACAGCATCCTCAAGGCATGTGTGGCTGTTCTTTCTCCTCTTTTTATAATTCAAAAGTGATTTTGAGTTATAAAAAGAGGGAAAAAGAGTCATAGAAGGGGGAAAACAGAGGCCAAGGACCATCAAGGATTGATGGTAGTCACTAGAAACTAGGAGAGAGACCCATAGAAGGAATCCACATGGCTGAGACCCTGATTTGGATCTTTAGCTTCCAAAACTGAGAAAGTAAATGTCTGTTCTTGAAAGGCACCCACCTGTGGTGGTTTTGTTATGGCAGTGCCAGCAAACCAATACACTAAGAAACTGGAAAAGTTTTGGTGTCCAGGGGTCTTTATTGAAATAATAGCACAGTTACACTTCTAATACCCTTTCTACTTGTATACAATAGATTAAAAATGCTACATACAGTGCACAGACAGTTCAAGAATTAGAACCAACTCAATTGCATTTAAAATAAATAAAATAACCTATTTAATAATTTAAAGTAGAATTACTGTACAATATGAAAATAAAGATACATAAATGTTAAGATCTACAATGCTGTAGCAATAAAATCATTATTCTGCATTACATAAAACAGTGCAAGAAAAAAAAATCCAAAAAGCTTTTGGAGTGCAAAATTTAAAACTTCCATTTTAAATTATCATGCAGACATAGCATCTCAAGCCGTGTTATGGTCTATGAAAAACATTTTTTCTTCGTTTCTTTTGAGGAGGAAAAATGTTAGCCAGTAAATGTAGTACCGTGCCACCAAGTGTTGCATCACATAACTGCTGTGGCTCTGCTTCCACAGTACAGTTTACAAGGGAGGTATCTTGTTGCATTCAAAAGAAATTGAAATTAACAAGTCTCTGAAGCAAGCACTTACCTTTTAGTCTGAAACAAAATAATAATCCTATCTCTGGTTTGATTTAGAAAGAAAAAAAAAAGGACTTGTACCACATAACAAAGCAAGAAGCAGTTTTCTATCCATCTTGAAACTCAATGATGATCCTCAGTGAAAACAACCATGTAATTGCTGAGAGATTATATATAAAACCCTCATCTCTAGCTGACAAGTGATACAATAGCATGGGACTGTGAGAAGAGCAAAGGAATATTTGAACAACTAATGTTTAATCTGTGTAGAAGTTGGCTGCATTACATATAATATATACTTAAGTATAGTTCAATTTCAACGTGTATCTAAAACTGTTATTGAGGCAAAGACCAAGGAATGCATTTAATACTAAACTGTAAACACGTCGTCCACCATGACTTGGAGTCCACATTGACAACATAAGAGCTCTTCCGCAGACTTTGGCAAGGAGACTACATACAGCAGGTCACAGCAGCACGAGTGCACAGGGAAGCACTGAGAATAACACCTCCTATCAATGGGACACATGGTAACAAGGGGCCTCCTTGGGCTAAGCCACTTCCTGGTCAGTCCACATTCTTCAAACCTGTCATTTTCACAACTCAGTAGTGTTAAGGATCTGTGCTTGCACTGCATAGACTGACTTCGGGTGGACTCTATGCACTGTAAGTCCAGAGGGTGACAGTTCTGTCTGCAGAGGACGACAGGAAGGAAAGATCCTGGGTGTGCCATCTACACTGAATCACTTTGTCCTTATGCTCTCCCACCACCATAATAGGAAGCTGCTTAGTGAGGTCCCCTAAATTAAAAAAGAAAAGAAATGTTGGTTAAAATATAAAGTAAGTATATGTATAGGTTTTATAGACCTCCTGTTACATGCAATACAAAATATAAAATATCCAAGCCTAAGTTGGGAGCACAGTGGCTCTGTAGGACAAGCACTGGACTGCTAACCACAAGGTTGGCAGTTTGAGCCCACCAGCCACTTCTTGGAACAAAAAAGATCAGGCTTTCTGCTCCTGCAAAGATTTACAGCCTCAGAAACCCTACAGAGGGTCACTATGAGTCAGAACTGACTCCATGGCACTTAACAACACAATAACAGTTACTAACTAGACTACAAAAATCTAAGTAGAAAGGTTTGAACAAGGATAAATTATTGGATACCTACTTGTTAGTTACTAATACAACATTTGACACAGCTGGCCACTCTCTCCTCCTTGAAATGCTCTCTTAATTTGGCTTTTGTTGACCTTAGTCCCACTACACCTCAGTCTCCTCCTCTGGCCTTCCTTCTTTCCCCGACTTTGGTCAGAAAGCTTGGTGAACCCCAGGATTCAGCTCTCCAATTTCTTCTGTTGCCTTTCTACCTTACTTCCTAGGAAATTTCATCTGACTACATAGCCATTTACATGCCTATGAGTCCCTCAGTTAGCTCTAGTCTGGAGCTGAAGCTCACCTGAGCTCCAGTTGAGTAAATAAATAGTTGTTTGATATCTCATTTGATTGTCTGATTTTCTCATGTTGCCATCAAGTTGATTCTGACTCATAGCGACCCTAGAGACAGAGAAGTGTCCCACAGGGTTTGCAAGGTTGTAATCTTTACAGGAGCAGGTTGCCAGTTCTTTTCTCCTGTTGAGTCTCAGGTGGGTTTAAACCACTGACCATTCAGATAGCAAGCAAGCACTAAACTACTGTAACACCAGGGATCCTGATTATCTAATAGTCACCTCAAGTTTAACTTGTCTAAACCAAACTTACTTTCTTGCCTAAACTTGTCATCCATCCTCATTTCAATTACTAGTACCATCTGGATGCTTATGCTAAAAACCTAGTAATCTTTGATTCCTTTTCCCTTCGTTCCCAAAATCGAACCCAAATTAATTGAAAGGTAAGATTTCAGAAAATTTGTAGAAAAATTCCATTATCTTTTAATTCCACATTCCATGAACTAATTTTTAAGCCCCCTCGTATACCACAAATACAATCATTGCTACCCTACTCCCCACTATTCTCTCTCACCTGATCTAGTCCAATGCACTCCCCACTGACATTTGTACTTCTTTGCTTGAGCCCTTTACAATCCATTCTCCCTATAAAACTCAAGACTGTCTTTTAAAAATGTAATTCAGGCCATGCATATCACTCCCCTGTTGAAAATTTTCCAAAGGTTTCCCATTATACTTTTTTAAAGCCTGTCAAATTTGTTCTCTCCATCCCTCTTCCTCGATTCACTAAGTTCCAGCTATATTGGCTTCCAGCAATGCAATGGACTGCCAACTACAAGGTCAGCGGTTTAAACCCACCAGCTGCTCCTCAGATACCCTGACACAGGGTCGTCCTGAGTTGGAACTGACTCTATGGCACTTACCCAACAAAGGAGATACCTACTGTAAGTGTCCTCCCTAAAAGTGCCTTTCCAGCCTAATCACCCAGTTGTTCGCTCCTACCTTGATCATTTCTTTAATTGTTGTTGTTGCTGTCGAGTCAGTTCTAGCTTATAGCAAACCTGTATAGGGTTTCCAAGGAGCAGCTGATGAGCTTGAACTGCCGACCTTGCAATTTAAACAACCTTGTGGTCCAGGGCTTATCTTCCAGTGCCATACCAGGACTCCTTTTTTAATAGTACTTTTAACTAAAACCACCTCATTTATTAACCTCTAATTGCAATTCCCATCAAGGAGGGTACTAAATGTCTCATTCATGTCTCTGTCTGTCCCTAGTTGGTACATAAATACTTATTTAATGAGTGTCTAAAAATAAAACTAAATACTACAAATATAATTACTCAAACTGTACATTAATGAGCTTTTTAAATTAAAAGCAAAAAAAGTATATAAATATTTTAACATCTGTCATCATTTATCACATAATCAAAATGATTCAGTATCAAATCTGGACTTTTAAAAATACTTTAAAGCACTAGTTAGCAATAAAAATAGGATTATTGACTTTGGTTAGTTAATAATTTGCTAAAAACCCATCTTAGCACAGTCCTAATAATCTGTTCAATAAATATTATGAAACTGAAATTTGAAACTGTTACAGTCAATCACACTAGTTTAACAAAAAAGAAGGATCCCAAAGAGAATACACGGGACTGAAAAAGGAAGGAGGCCAATCTAAATTACCTTGCAGGTCTGTCACCTTTATTTTCATATCATAAGATCCTGTTAACAAGTAATGAGCTCCAGGAGAAAACCGAACTGAGCGAACATCACTGGTGTGCGGATGATAGCTTTGTACCATTCTTCCTCCTCGGATGTCATACAACATGCAGCTAGAATCCTCTTGGCCTGTGGCTAAGAGACGGCCACTGGGGTCTACAGCTACAGACGCCACTGCACTGCCTGTGGCAGAAGGAATTTTAATCAGTAAAATCAGCTAAAATGCAACACAATTAGGTTCACTGTTTATCAAAGCTGTTCAGTTATGGGACAATCCAAACTAACAGCTAATAAATACCTGCTCCTTTTAGGGGCCAGGCAGGAAGCAAGATTCTGTTAAGAAATGAGAAAGTATTTTTTTGTTGTTGTTATTTGTGGGAATCACCTTCTAAATTGTATACCTTTAATGAAGTAGATGAGCGAACCACACTAGGAAAAAAACCACATTTTTCCTACTCTGGATTTTCTCCTGAAGATTAAGTATCCAGAAATAGTCCCATAAACACCTTAACATTTAGTTGGGAAAACAGAAAAATATCAACCTACATTTTAGGGAGACAGTATAGGAAATGTCCCAAAGCAACACATGATTTACTGCCAAATTAACTGAACAGAGACGCAGCTCTGAGTCCAAAGGTCAAGGTTAGAGCCATATATATGCTAGATTATCCTCACTGGGAGTAAGTCAAGGTTAGAGCCATATATGCTAGATTATCCTCAGTGGGAGTAATTTTGTTGTTAAGTACCTTTGAGCCTACTCCAACTCATAGCGATCCTATATATGGTTTCCAAGGCTTTCAATCTTTGCTGGAATAGAAAACCTGATTTTTATGCCATGGAGTGGCTGGTGGGCTTAAACCACCAACCTTGTGATTTGCAGTCCAATGCTTATGTATGGAGCCACCACGCTTCCATGGGGGTAATAGTACTCTCCAAAATGGCTCTTTGCTGTTGTTGTTAAGTGCCGTCAAGTCGGTTCTGACCCATAGCGATCCTGTATAGGGTTTTTGAGGAGTGAATGGTGAGCTTGAACCGCTGTCCTTGCAGTTCAAATGGCTTTACAGTCTGACGCATTAACCCACCGCGCCACACCAGGACTCCAAAATGGCTCTTAGGAGGTGAAAAAATATTAAACTTTACAATGATTGGTAGCCCTCTAAAGCTCAGTCCTACCCAACAAATCATTACTTAGTATTTAAAGATTCTTGTTAGGAAAAAAAATCAATTTTTCTTCTTAGGGGGCAATAATGAAAATAAAGTTGAAAATAAAGAAAAATAATTTGTTCTTCTTAGGGGGCAATAATGAAAATAAAGAAAAATAATTTTTTCTTCTTAGGGGGCAATAATGAAAATAAAGTTGCTGTAGATCAAAACGGACTGGGAAGACTTCACATTAAAAAAAAAAATGACGTAAGTTACATCTTGGAAAACAGTAAACAATATAAGTAAGCATACGTGTAATATATATGCATGTGATTAAGTTAATATTTTCTCAAAACTTTGTCAGAGAAAAGAAGAGGGCTATAATGGTCAGAAGAGCCCTGCTGTACAGGAGTTCATCTCTCAGCTGCTCCATGAAACGTCAGCCATCTGAACACACCAGCTACTCCAAGGGACTCTGCTCCTGTAAAGATTACAGTCTTAGCAACATGTTGCTGAGACTGGGGGCTCAGGATCAGTTTCAAGGACACCATGGTCAATTAGCATAACATAGTTCACAAAGACAAGGCTCTACATCCTACTTAGGTGAGCAGTGACTAGATCTTAAAAGCTCATGAGCAGCCATCTAAGGTGCAACTATTGGTCTCTCCTCACACAGAAGAAAGAAGAGTGATGAGAACTGAAGATGTTTAGAATCAATTAATACAATGGACTAATGGAACAATAGACTAAAGGAACATCAGTCTCTATGACTCCAACCAGAAGAGCTACATGGTGCCTGGCTGTCACTACCAACTGCTCAAAAGGGATCACATTTGAAGGTTCTGGATAGAGTGGAAAAAATGTGGAACAAAATTCAAAATTATAAAAAAGAGCCTTCTGGTTTGGAATGGAAAATTGCAGCCCAATTTTCAGCCAAGCAGCAGAGAGCGATATAATGGGGAGAACAACACTAGTAAAGGTATGCTACTCATGGAATGGACTACCATTCAAGATCAAAAGGGAAACATATGCCTAACGACAAAGTTGAGACGGGCTGGGAAGGAGGGTGGAGTGGAAATAATATCAGAGAGAAAGGGAACACTGAGACAGGTTTGCATGGGCTAAATGGGACAGAGGTAAATAGTAATGCATCATCAACCTTGGAACAATAGGGTTCTGTGATACAGGGATCGAGGCATAGACAGAAAATGGGAAATAATACTAAGATGCTTGAGTGCCTTATGATTATTGGTTTCCCTTGCCTACTATTGTAAAATAGACATTTGAGTGGGATAGAAAAGAATGTCAGGAAACATGATTACAGAAATCTTGTAAGCCCATCTTCAGCCTATAACTGATTGAAATACCTAAAAGGGGTTCTACAACTTGCACAGTGAAATAGGCCTCTTGCAGAGCCTTTGAAGTGTATAGGATCTTAGGTGGAATCCTGAGTCCCATCCAGAATCTTCTGAGGTGGGACATTCCCACTAGAAAGGACAAGCAGACCACCCTGGAACAGCTAGAGCCACAGAAGATACATCTTCAAAGAAAGATCAGCAGGAAAAAAACAAAACAAAAATGGCAGTATGATTACAAGAATAAGCAAGTTGTTCGCCAGGAAGCCATCACGGCAAGCAATCAAGTCCCTTCAGGAAAAACCCTACTCTATGACTGAAACTCAAAGGAAACACATGAGCAGGCACGTAAGCTTGCTGACAGCCACATTGGTCTACTATTTCACTGGTGAGTGGAAGAAGGAGAAAGGCAGCAATGAAGAAATGCGCTGAGTTCAACCACATTCCATAGACTCCCATTAACCTGGAGATGAGAGAGAGAAGAGGAAGGTCTGGTTGGTCCAAAGTATGGTAAGACCTGGGAACACCTGAGCCTATGCACAAGGACACAGCCACAGAGGGCTAGAGCTGAGAGTAAAGCATCCAGCTGATATGAAGGGAGGGAGATACATAAAAACACGCAAACTTGTAGATAGTACCCATTTGACTTAGCCTCGATGGCTTGATAATCAGAACTCAACTAGAGGAAGAGAAATAAAATAATAATTTTTGATAAAGGAAATGAGGACAAATGGCTATAATTTGATGAACTGGATGAACTACTCATGGAGGTAGTAGTTCAAAATACCAACAGAGAAAGAAGGAGTCTTCATATCAAGTATCATTGCTATCCCCACTGTATACAGAGTAGATAGGGATGGTCAACTTAGACACCGGCTACCTAAAATGAGGGGGTAATAAAGGCACGAAGTGACTGGCTTACAAGGTTTCAAGAGGGAGGTTAGTTTAAGAGTGTGTGGGGGAAGATAGAGTCCCCACTGAATAGTTTTCATCTTGTCTAGATGGGTCTGGTAAAAGAGATGGGGATAAGATTCTTATGATTCAGTTGTTATCATGACTAATTATGACTGTCACAATTGTCAAGGTAGAAGTTTTATAACAAAAATGGGGAAGTAATCTTACAGTCCAGTAACAGAGGACCCTAGGACCACCAAGGGAGAAGAGCACAAGTGGAATGTAGGACCTTACCTAGAGAAGCAGCAACACCAGATATGGAGGCAGAGATGGGGACATGGAGAGAGGGAGCTGCTAAGGACTCTAGATTCACTGGACTGAGAGCTGGCGGCCAGGAGGCAGACTTGCAGAAGGTGCTATTTGGTTGTGTAAATTATTATATATGCCTGCGTGTTTTTGTTGTGTTTTTTTAAAAAAAAAAAAAAAGAGCTAAAGTGAATAGAGAGAAATGCTGTTAACTGATGGTACATGGTAGGGATTACAATCATTGTAATGAAACAAGGCGTATGATTTGTTGAATGTAAAACTGATGATCTGCCCTGTAAACTTTCACTCAATCCACAATTAAAACTTTAAAAAAAAAAAAAGAGCTAAAATGAATAAAGAGAAATACTGTTGACTGATGGACCACGGAGGGGATTATAATTATTGTAATGAAATGGGGTGTATGATTTGTTGAGTGTAAAACTGATGATCTGCCCTGTAGACTTTTACTGAATTCACAATAAAAACTTAAAAAAAAAGAAACACAAGGAGGAAGTGGGATAACTGTTGTTACATGGAGGGGGAATGCAATCACTGAGATGAAACAAAGTATGTTGTTGTTGTTAAGTACCGCAGAGTTGGTTCCGATTCATAGTGACCCTGCACAGGGTTTCCAAGGCTGTAAATCTTTACGGGAGCAGAACACCTCATCTTTCTCCTGCGGAACCACTGGTAGTTTCAAATGGGTTAGCAGCCCATTTTGTAACCAATGTGCTACCAGAGTTCCTTGAAACAAAGTATAGGATTTGCTGAATGTAAAACTGATGATCTGCTCATTTAAGTCACAATAAAACTTTTTCAAAAGAAATATTACAGCCTTGCAAATCTTATAGGGCAAATCTACTCTGTTCTATAGTGTCACTAGATATCGGAATGAACTCAATGGCAATGGGTTTGGTTTTGATTACAGCCTGGAAAAATTACGTGAGAACATGTTTACAGGAAAAGTATGATAAATGTGTAAGGGCAGATAATCAATGTGGCTGTGCCAACACAATGATACCTAACAACAACAATCAGTTTGGCTAGAGTTTCTTAGTTTAATGAGCTAACAGTCTTGATGTTACCAGGTTAGGTAACATCAACCATCAGGCACCTTGAATCTCAAACTACAGAACTTGAACTTGCTCCTCCTGTAGACAGTGAAGTATTACTGCAGATATTCTAAGCAACAGAATTAATTAAATGATCCAAGCGGCATTTTGGGTAGATTAATTCATGGAAAACATACAAGTATATGAAACTAAAATGGACAGATTCTAGAAGATAGACTACTGAAAGACAAGATAGAGTAAGAGAATAATGAGAGAATGAACAAAGAATCAATCATTTTAGCAACTAACTGCCTGGATGGAAGCAAAAAATGAATTGTTAAATTAGTCCCAGACTTCTCTAGTTGAGTGAGAAAATAAGCAAGCCATCATCAAAAATAGGAAAGATGGGGAAAAGAGCTGATTCACATGGGAAAATTTAGGTTAGTTTTATACATACAAAATTTGGTTCCACTTAAAATAATTAAATCACTTCCCCTGAGGCAGGCACTATTATAGGGGCTAAATCTACCTCTGGGTAATAAAACAGATATGATTGCTTCCTTTGTGAAATGTAAAATCTACCGAAGGAGATAGATAATATACAACTAGTAAGTAGAGATAAGACCTATGAAAGAAAGAAATGGGAGGGTTTTTTTTTTTGTTTAATGCCATCAAGTCCGTTCCAACTCATAGCAACCCTGTGTAGGGTTTCCAAGGAGCTGCTGGTGAGCTTGAACCACCGACCTTGCAGTTCAAACCAACTTTGCTGTCCAGCACATTAACCCGCAACACCACACCAGGGAGTTAGTGATAGAAACTAACGGTGACATGCCACTTAGGGCAGTCAAAGAAGGCCTCTCTGGACTAGAAGATATTGAAGTTAACACTTAAGGTACGCAGAATATTTTCAGGCTAAGAAAGTAGCATGTTGTTGAAAGTGGGGAGAGTATGACGTGTCAGAAGAACTGAAATGAAAGACGCAAGTGATGGGAGATGAGACTAAAAAGGTAAGCCAACCAGATCGGTTTGGTATCATAGGTCATGGTAAAGAGTCTGTACTTTAGCCTAAGAGCAAGGAGAAGTCATGGACATATAAGCAAGATGTGATGGGATCAGATTTGTTAAAATAATGAATACTATGGCTCCCATATAGAAGAAGTATAGAAAAAGAAAAAGTCCATAAAAGTCAAAATAAAGCAATTTTAAAAAAAAAATTAAGGATATGTCTTTTCACTTGAAATAATGCCACAAATTGATATTAAAAAGGGCAGAAAATATACTCCAAAACAAAATAAAAAAATGGCAGAATACTGTATACTCTTAGATACCAATGTTTTAAAAGGTGAAATAATGCAAAGAGCATTAACCTGGTTTACATGTGTGGTGTAGTGAATTATCTAATGTCTCTTATAACTCTGTAACTCCCACCAAATGACATTTCTGCTCTGCAGGGTCTGAGTAAGAGAAGGCAGGAGAAAATACTGATGACATGATTCAGTTAATTGTAACTGTAAAAACTGAAAACTCTAGCATGGGTTTAAATGAAATGAGCCATCTCAAAAGCAGGAGGCGGTGAGGGTGGGGTGGGGGCAGGGAGTCTCATTACCATCAAAGAAAAAGAGCCAAGAGTAGAGCGTGCCCTTTGGACCTTGAGATCTCAGTGTCCTCGACCCAGGAACAGAAAATTGTAACACTGGAGGAGCAGCAGCAGCATAATCAAGAACAAGAGCATGAGAGAGAACAGTGGGCTTCCCAGTCCATGGAGCAAGTAAAGCTGAGTGACTCTGAACAGGAAGATTGCTTGTTGAGTAGGGTGCCTCCAGGCACTTAAGTTGAGAAGCTGTTTGCTGACTGGTGGAGCTACAGCCAAATGCCTTCAGGCTAAGGCTTCTGGTGGAACAGTGAATATTGTGGGCATTTGTCAGCAGATGACTGGAACAACGGTGCCCTGAGCATTTCTGACCTTGAATTTAAATTTAACTTCCCTATTAAATCCCATAATCCGGTATGTTGTCTGAGTTCTGTGTGGCCATTGAACAATTATCAAACCCAGCTGAGTAAAGAGCTATGGGAGGAATGTTTGGAGCCATATATATTTTTGCAACTTGGAATAATCCAAGGCATAAAGAAGCTCTGGTAGCGTAATGGTTATGAATTGGGCTGCTAATCTCACAGTCAGCAGTTTAAAACTACCAGCTGTTCTGCGGGAGAAGGATAGCTCCCGTAAAGATTTACAGCCTCGGAAACCCTGTACAGAGTCGCTATGAGTCAGAACCAACTCCACAGCACATAACAACAATAACAACATTAAGTTTAAAAATCTAAGTGTCTGTCACATATTACTCTGTGTGGTTTGGTGTTTTAAAAGAAGGAAGATTAGTATATGTACAAACTTTTGGTTCTACATTTACAGAATGTTTTTAGAAGAAAAAATCAGAAACTAGTTCCTTAGGGAAGGAGACAAAATAACAGGAGTGAGAAGAAACTGGTATATATCCTTTTTTATCAATTGAAATTGTATCAGGTGAATATGCATTTAAAAAAATTATTTTTAAAAGTCTAAATTCTAAAATGGTCTTGTTACCATCAACTGAATTTCCCCAGACCTCAGTTTCCTAAGCTGAATATTATTTCTACATATAAGGTAACAGATGAAAGTATTTTTAAAGAATTAAATGTAATCAATAAGCTATCAAATACTTATTTTATTACCATTCCTATTATTAGTTGGTTAGTGGTAATAAAATAAGTTTTTAAAGTTTCTTCCTCTCATATAACTTCATTTAAATTACAGAAAAACCTACCAGTCCCATGGAATGTTGTGCCAACAACACGAACACAGCTTGGTACTCTAAGATCCCAGAATCTAACAGTCTTATCTTGAGAACCAGATGCAATCATCCAGCCACTCCAGGTATAAAGTGCTAAAATATGCCCTGTAAAAGACAATGTACTGTTATTACAGTGGAGTAACACTTTTTTTCTTAACACATTCAAAGCACAGTATTCCTTTGAACTGGGCATGTGATGGTCTGGTTAATATAAAATACCTTGTAACAAATTTTCCAGAGATATCAAATAGATTGGCAATTTTCAAATAATTGAAGTTCAGTATGATGTACAACATCAAAACTATACTGCACAAATTTAATCTTTCTTTGATGATTTCATTAGTACATTAGACTCAATTTTTCAGGACATCATAATTAGAACTGAAAAGCAAGCTACCATTTGAAATTATGGCAATTTGTCAATGGGGGAAGGGTACAGGATTGTGGGATTAGATCACCAGTTTTTAAACAGATCTGGTTCAAATCTCAGTTTTGACACTTAACAGATTTACTGGGTGGCAAAAGCCATAATTAAGGAATTAAAATAAATAAATTGAGACATATTAATTGAGGAATTAAAATAAATGAGACACGGGGAAACCTGGGCATAGAAGAAGTCATTGTTTTTGCAGAGCAACAATGAATTATTTTTCTTTGGATGGCAAAGCCACAAAGATAATATTCTATGCGCAGGCCCCTAGTTATTTTTTTCCTTTTGAATCATTTTCTGATTTATTCATGATTTTGTTAGTATCCCTTTACTTTGGATTTTGACTCTCCCACACTTTAGTATATTTTTATTAAAAGTTTGAAGCCATATATTAGTTACATTTTATTCTACTTGTAATCTTAGGTAGTTTTAATACTTATATTAAAAATGTTCTTAAGACTATTATTAGTAGACAGGATCTGTCAGTTGAATTACTACCAGCTTAGGTTTAATGATTGTAAACATTCTTCCTTGTAGCCTTAGTTTAAGGCAATAAAGAATCCCTAAAAGCAACTAGGCCATAAATAAGGGCTGTGGGTACAAGAATTCCTAAAAACAATTAGACTATAGATAAAGACTATGAGTATATACAGATACTAAATAAAAAGTCTGACTTTGACATTCTTAAACAAATGATCAGTAAAATAGAGTTGTTTTTCATAGCCTCAGTTTTTTAAATGTTCTGATAGGTGATGTTTTTGTAGGCTATAAGCAGATAGTGTATTGAAGAAGTTAATGGAGAGTTAATTGCACCTAACAACTAAATTAAGAAGACTCAACAGACAAAGGTTAAGAAACATATGTGAAGGTTAACTTGCTTCTCAGAGAAAAGAATAGATTTATGTAGGAACAAATGTTTAACTAAAAGGTTTCAAGGCGCCTGAATGTCTCCTATGCCTTGAGATAATGTTTCTGCTATAACTTCCCATCCCTGTTGTAAATTTAAGAGTTGTAAACCATGAGGAATGTGCCCCCAAAATAGATTGTACTTTGATGTCATTGATTACTATGAAAGCAATGTTTTTTGTAACGGTATATAAGGGGGTTGTAAGAAAGAGAGAGAGGAAGGGGGAGAAGAAGGAATATGAGATGGAGAGGAGACGAGAAAAGAATGGAGGGAGGATAGAGGGAGTAATGTAGAGAAGGAGCAGGGGAGTGGAGTAGTGAAAGAAGTAATGTAGATAATTAGGAGTAGTAGTGTAGAAAGAAAAAGAATAAGAGTAATGTAGAGAAGGAGACAGTAAAGAAATGGAAGGAGGGGAAGCTAGTAAAAAAGCAGAAGAGATGAGCAGGAGAGCAGGAGAGAAAAGAATGAGCAGGAGGGTAAAAAATGAGCAGGACAGTAAAGAATGAGAGAAGAATAAAGCATGTAATAAGAAGATTTTTGAATTCATTATCACTTATTGACTCTGTGTAATTCTTTCCGCTGACGCCACACCCACCTTCAGAAAAAGCCCTTGAAATAAATTTTCCGGGGCTGGCTCTCGGCAACTGGGCAAGTCAGTTTATCTTTCCAGCCTCATTTTATTCCTGTATAAAATGGTGATAAACTGTCTACCTCACAGGGTTGTTATGAGGATTAAATTATGGAATTAATTATACAAGTAAAGGATTCAGTATTCAGGGAAATAATAATTTTAACTGTCACTACTGTGTGGTTATTCAAAGCTCACAATTTTAAAAATAAAAATGTCCTATGTTGAAGAAATCTCTTTTGATGGCGCTATAGGATAAGCACTGAACTGCTAACCACAAGGTCAGTGCCTCAAATCCACCAGATGCTCCTCTGAAACCCTATTCAGGGTCACTATGAGTGGGAACTGCCTCAACAACATTTAACACACATATAACACAGAATGAAAAAACATGGGTTGAACATATAGAAAAGCAGCATTTCAGACTGATATAACATACCAGTATGTCCACTCAGAGCATGTAGGCCCTGTCCTCTTTGACAATCTGTTGTGTAAATATTACAATCCCCTGCTCCAGCACTTATTAAAATAGCTCCACCGCTTTCTGGGCCTTCCATAAATGCCAAGTCTCTAATTGTCCCATCATGCATACTAAATTCCAGATCTGGTCCTGAAACAGCAATAAGAATTTAAAAAACAAAAGATGCTGCTCAACTGACTGTGATCATTTGAGATTGCTAAAGTGCCTCAAAAGTGACCAAGTGTAATGGTAAGTAGTTTAGGGTTTATGTTTTCATTTAAGACTGATATTATAGAGCCCTGGTAGCATGGTGGGTTATGCATTTAGCTGCTAACCGTAAGGTCAGCAGTTCAAGTCCACCAGGAGTTCCTCAGAAGAAAGATGAGGCTTTCTGCTTACAATCTCACAAATCCTATACAGGGTGGCTATGAGTCAGACTTGACTCCACAGCATACTACCACCACCATTATAATCAATTTCTCTTTATAGCGCAAAGAACTTTGAGAAATCACAATACTGATTTAGATATTGTCATCCCTAAAAATTGAGTCTTATATAGGGTTACCTTCTTATTTTTTATCTCAAAGACAAAATATATCCACTAGTATAATTTTGGTCATTATTGCAAAGTTATTTTCCGGATAACAATTTTCTGTGGCTTAGATATGACATGGCCACCTAGAAAAACTTGACTTTTAAAAAAGAATGTTTCATGAGTATAACCAAGCAATTAGAATGTTTGTTTGTTTTTTTCTTAAGTCTTTTTAAGACTATATTCTTAGATTTCATTAAAAAACAATACAGAGCTATATAGCAAGGGGAAAGCATAAAATATACAATACTAAAGCTACTGCTTACATACTTGGGCCCTACCTGTTGCATTACAAGTCTCTGCATTAAAGGGCAGAACTTTGACGTATTTGTCATTTGATCCTGTTGCTAACAATTGTCCACAAGGACTCCAGGCCACACAGTAGATGGATCCTTTATGATGTTTATTTCTTTTAAAACGTACAACTGGCTGCTTAGGAGCATCATGTGCACTAAAAAGAAAATTTAACAAAGATATTTCAATTTCTTACTTGCTAAAATTAACTAATAATGAAGTTCTATATTATACTTGTTCTTGAGGGAGAAAAAAAAGCAGCAGGCAACAGGTTAATAACAGTTTTCAAAATCCTAGAAAAAATAAAGTTAAAACATTTAAAATACAGAAAATAAAATTATTAACCATTTTGATACTAATCTCTCATTTTAGACTACATAGACTATACATATAACTCCATTTCACATATTTTTAGAAACACAAGAAAACATTTTTTTCAAAACCTAATAATGTCCCAGACTTTCAGATAGTACCCATTTGGCCTAGCCTCAAAGGCTTGATAATCAAAACTCAACTAGAGGAAGATTAAAAACAAAACAAAAACACAATTTTTGATAAAGGAAATGTGGGTAAATTGCTATAATTTGATGAACGTGACATATGCTCATGGATGTAGTAGCTCAAAATACCAACAGAGAAAGAAGGAGTCTCCGTATCAAGTATTAATGCAGTGTAGATAGGGATTGGCAACTTAGACATTGGCTACCTAAAATGAGGGGGTGATAAAGGCATGAAGTGACTGGCTTACAAGTTTTCAAGAAGGAGTTTAGTTTAACAGTGTGTGTAGGAAGGTAGAGTCTCCACTGAATAGTTGTCATCTTGTCTAGCCAGACAGGTCTGGTGAAAAGAGATGGGGATAAGAGTCTTATGATTCAATAGTGAGTAACTGTTATCATGACTAATTGCGACTGTCACAACTGTAAAGGTATAAATTTTGTACCAAAAACGGGGGAGTAATTAATCTTACAGTCCAGAACCAGAGGACCTTAGGATTACCAAGGGAATAGAGTACAAGCAGAATGTGGGACCCTATTCAGAGAAGCAGCAACACCAGAGATGGAGACAGAAATGAGGACATGGAGAGAGGGAGCAGCTGAAGACTGTAGACTCATGGAAAGAAAGGGACTGAGTGCTGGTGGCCAGGAGGTAGGCTTGCAGAATGTGCCCTTTGGTTGTTTAAATTATTATATATTACTGAGTGTTTTTGTGCACATCTCCCCGCTCACCACCCTAAACACACAAAAAACAAACAAACAAAAAAACAGAGAATGTAAGCAAATACTGTTGAATGATGATGCATGGAGGAGACTGTAATCATTGCAATGAAACGATGGTGTGTAAAGCCAATGTTCTCCCATGTAAACTATCACTCAGTTCACAATTTAAAAAGAAAAAAAAAAAAAAGATAATAATGTTTCTAAATTGAAAAAGTTCAAAAACATTTCTTAAATATGTAATCTGAGCTATCTCAGGGGGTAGAGAGAAGTGGGGAAGAGATATTATAGTATGGCAAGACCCAGCTGAGTGAAAATAATAGGAATGTGTCCATGGGACTAGAGGAGATAAAGCCCAGAATGCCTGGCAGACAGAGTGGGATAGGCCTGTCAGTGAGGTTGGAGGCTCAGCCAGTGGAGGGTCCTAGATGCTATGTTCCTTAAGAATTTAACCTTTGATGGGCATTTTATCTATACTTCAAAAAGTAGAATGTCATTCTTGATAGTTGCTATCAAGTCAATTTGGATTAACACTAACAACAACAACATAATACTAGGAGCCCCAGTGGCACAGGCATTAAGTGCTTAGCTGATAACCAAATGGTCAGTAGTTCAAATCCACCAGCCGCTCCTTGTGAGAAAGCTGTGACAATCTGCTTCTGTAAAGATTTACAGCCTGGGAAGCCCTAGGGGGCAGTTCTACTTGGTCCTATATGGTCACTATAAATTGGAACTGACTCAGTGTCAACATCGAGTGCTGGATAGCTAAGTTAATAATGAAGGCATCTATTCTTACCTTGGATCAATTACTTCTGGATAGGCACATACTCTCAAAGTTTTTGAATTCGAGCCGACAGCATATAAACCACCACTTGGGTGAAAAGCCACTGCTCTAACAGCCTGTGTATCTTCTAAAGTATTAATACAAACAAACTGCTTTTTTGACTTGTCATCCTATTAAAAAAATAAATAGGAAAGTCATCTTATGAAAATAATGAATTTTCATTTAAACTCATTTGACTGCAATAATCTTGTTGGAACTCTATGTTCACTACCAACAACCATACGTTTTTTTAAGTGGCAAATCCAAAGTAACTCTAATTTTTCTATTTTTGCTTGTTGTTGCTGTGTGCTATCAAGTCAGTTCCAACTCATAACAACCCTGTATAAAGTTTCCAAGAGCAGCTTATGGGTTTGAACTGCCAGCCTTATGGTTACCAGACAGTACTTATCTTACAGCACCACACCACGGCTCACCGATACTCATTGCTAAAATAATTCAAATCGACATTCGAATTTTTCATCTATGGAATTTGTGTGGAAAATTTCCATTCTTTTTCAATACCATTTTTCCATGAACTTTTTAAAGCCCCTTCATACAAGAATGGAGTCTGGTGTGGCACTGTGGGATAAGCACTGAACTACTAACTAGAAGGTTGGCAGTTCAAAACCCACCAGCCATTACTTGGAAATCCTATACAGAGTCACTTAAATTGGAACCGACTTGATGGCACTTAAAAACAACAACATATAAGAACATGCATTTAGATGTCAAGGAAATAAAAGTTCACATATATAGAAGTTCTAACAAAAACATACAAAAATCCCTTGTATTTCTTAAAACAGGTAGTATAAAACTTTTACTTAATCTATTTAGTTTACCATCATCTCTAGCAACCAATATCTCAGCATTTCAAACTGACATTTAGAAATACCCCTTTAAACTGCAACAATGAACATTAAAGTTGAGCTTCATTTTTATGTTAAATTATGAGCCTGGCTGTCTGCAGCATTGTTCTGAAGAAGACAAACAGACACAGTTCTGTATAAAAGTTGTGGTGACTCCTGTTACTGGTATCACTTGAAACTATCCTACAGGTTACCCTCATCAGGACTGACACACCTAGAAAAGGGTCCTCTGGACTGGGTGTGTCACTGTTACAGTTGTTTTTGTAATTGTTAGGTGCCATTGTGTCAGTTTCAACTCATAGGGACTCTATGCACACAGAATGAAAACACTGCCCAGTCCTACACAACCTTCACAATTGTTATGTGTTGAGCCTATTGTTATTGTCACTGTGCCAATCCAGTTCGTTCAGGGTCTTCCTTTTTTTTGCTAACCCTCCACTATACTGAGCATGATGTCCTTCTCCAGGGACTGGTCCTTCTTGACAACATGTTCACAGTTCCTTAGTGAAATCTGCAAGTAGATATAAAAACAAGGAAACCCCCTCCCTCAAAGTGTTACCTCTTCCCCTCTTGACCTTGATAGTTTCCCTGAAGAATCTCCAAGAGGTGGTTTAACAATCGATGGTTCTGATGAGCTGCATGGGTAGAAATTCAAATAGAGATTATTCTGAATATCAAAACAAATTAATTCATCATTTCATTTTTATTGATTGGCAAATAACCCTCACTGACCCCAGTCAAAATTTACTCTCTAGAGAGGTTTACTAAGAGGCTCTGGATTCAGCAACATCAAACATAGTGGTAAGGATTGGATAAGAAGCCAGTTTTTAAAGGAAATTAAGACAAAGCCCACATATTGTATAGTGCTTTCTTCCTCTGCTTAGCTCCAGCAGAATCCTGGTTGCAATGCTTAGAGGCTACCCCAGGCTGAATTTGGAGATTGCTCTCTTAAACAATAATCTGGCTCAAAAGAAAAGGCTAAACAGATACTGACAGTTGAGGGTCACTCAATCAAATAATGTTTTCACCTAATCAATGTTTGCACCTAATCACTATTTTGAGAAAGATCCACTCACACAAAAACTTTTCTTCCAAATGGCTTTTTAAAATACTCCACTCTTTCTAGACAAAGATTTCCAAAAACCTCCGAGATAAAAATCAGAGACTAAAACAAAAAAGGAGCTTGGTAGAAGAGAGGCAATGCTGAGAGCCAAAACAATCTGTTAAAATACAATGAAGAAGCTTATAAATTATAAAAGAAAATAAGCCAGAAATCAAGAATAAGCTTTAGTTTAAAAAGCACATACAAAAAAGGAAAATTTAGAGAACAAAAAACTTTTGGAAAATACAAATATAGTAGTAGAAAAGAATAAATCAATAGGAAATTACTAAATATTTTTTAAATTTCCTAGAACTTAAATTTCTAGCTTGAAGGGTCCACAAAGCTTCCAGCAGAATAAAAGAGAGAGAGAGAGAGAGAAAAAAAAAGAACTACTCTGAGGTATATCATGAAGATTTAGAACCTCAGGGAAAAGAAGACCCTAAAAACTTTCAGCAGGCCTCAAAGGATCAGAAACAAAGTAGCGTCATACTTCTTAATGGGACACTGAAACTACAAGATGGTTTTATAAAGACTGTAGCAATGCCTCTGAAGCTCTGAGGAGTGTGTTCCATCACAGAATTCAATACCCAGCTGCACTAACAAATCAAGTATAAAATAGAATAAATACATTTTTTAGATATGCAGAGTCTCAGAAATTTCCCATCTGATGTGTCCCTTTTCAGGAAACTATGAAGAAACCTGAAAACAGGAAAGAAGCAATTCCCATGAGAATGATGAAGGAAAGTCCCAGAATGCTCTAAGAACAATGACTCTAAAGTAAAGTAGAAGTAATCCCAGAGAGGGACATCTCCCTGACCAAAAAAAAAAAAAAAAATTAATTGAAATAAAGAAATTACCTGATATATTTGACTGTGATGAAGAGTTTTATGATTTTACAACTATAGCAAAGAGTTTGCTGATGGTTTATGATGGGACATAGGTACATAGAAGACTGAGCACGCACATGCACACCAAAATGAGGCAATTACTGTCTCCCAATTACTGTCTCCCAGTAAAACAGAAAGTTGTATGAAAAGGAAACACTTTTATAGTTACACTTTAATAAGCATCCAAATACTAAAAAACAAGTTACAAGTTACTTATTTTTTAAATGTGCCATTCTCAAATTGTTGTTTTGTTTTTAATAAGGTTACAGAAAAACATTTATACAACCAAAGAAATGGTAACACTGAATACTGATTCAAACAAAAATTGATACATAGATAGCTACATGAAAGGCTTCAAAGAGTACGTTAACCTTTTCATTCTGTTTTTCCATGAACTTTTTAAATCCACCTCACATGTTGATATATAAAAGTGATTTGATTTTTTTAAATCATGTATGTATATTACTATAAGTGTACTTGAAAAAAGTGACTTTTAACAAAATAATATTTTATTGCGTCTTTGGTAAAAGTTTACATAGCAAATTAGGTTCTCATTTGACAATTTCCACAAAAATTGTTGGGTTGTGTTGCTGTTGTTTGGTCTCACAATTGTCACCATATAGCCCATTATTGCAGCTACTATGCTAATACATCTCAGTGCAGGTCCTTCTCTTTTGTGCTGACCATCTACTTTACCAAGCACGATATCCTTTTCCAGGGGAGGGTGTTTCCTGGTAACATGTCCAAAGTACAGTGAGACAAAGTCTTGCTATCCTTGCTTCAAAGGAGCAATCTGGCTGTACTTCTTGCAACACATATTTGTTTGTTCTTCTGGCAGTGCGTGATATATTCAGTATTTTTCGGCAACACCATAATTCAAATGCATCAGTTCTTCTCCAGTCTTCCTTATTCATTGTCCAGTTTTCATATGCATATGAGGCAACTGAAAATAACATGGCTTGGTTTTGGTACACCTTAGTTCTCCAAGTGACATCTTTGCTCTTTAACACTTTACAGAGGTCTTGTACAACAGATTTGCCCAGTGCAGTTTGACATTTGATTTCTTGACTGCTGCTTCCATGAACACTGATGTGGAGCCAAGCAAAATGAAATCCTCGACAATTCATTTTCTTCTCCATTTATCATGACATTGCTAATTGTTCTAATTGCAAAAATTTTTGTTTTCTTTATGTTGAGGTGCAATCCACACTTAATGGCTGTAAATGTTTCAAGTTTTCATCACTTTCACCAAGCAAGGTAATGTCATCTACATATCACAGGTTGGTCTGCCTCAGATTCTAATGCCATGTTCCTCATATAGTCAGCTTCTCAGATTTGTTCAGCATATATATTAAATAAATATACCTTCCCTGATTTTAAGGCATAAATTATTATCTCCTTGTTCTGTTTAAATAACTCTTAGTCTATGTACAGGTTCCACAATTAAGTGTTCCAGAATTCCCAATCTTTGCAGTGTTATCCATAATTAGTTGTGATCCATACAGCTGAATGCCTTTGTATAGTAAATAAAACACTAGTAAATATCTTTCTGGTATTCTCTACTTTCAGCCAACATTCATTTGACATCTGCAGTGATACCCTTTGCACTGTGTTCTCTTCTGAATCCAGCTTGAATTTCCATGTTAATGCACTGCTGCAACCACTTTTATATTCTCTTCAGCAAAATTTACTTGCATTTGATATTAAAGATGCTGTTCGATAATTTTCACATTCTGTTGAGTTACCTTCGTCTGGAATGTGCACAAATATGGATCTCTTCCAGTTGGTTGGCCAGGTAGCTGTCTTCCAAATTTCATGGCAGAGATGAGTGAGTGCTTCCAGTGTTGTAACCATTTGTTGAAACAGCTCAAGTGGTATTCTTTCAATTCCTGGAGCTTTGTTAATTGCTTAATGGCTTCAGTTCAGCTTCAACTTCTTCAATCAGTGACACTAATTACATTTATCACAAAGTGTCAAGTTTCTCTTTATCTTCCTGCCCCCTTATCTTCTGAGTTGTTGTTGACCTTTTGGTCTCAAGCTGAAGGTTTTTAAGCAGGGCACCAATCTTACAGGTAGCAGTCTCACTATTTCACTAAAAGGTGATCTCAGGGCATATGTCTATATTTAAAGATGTCTCTGAGACCATTCTCTACTTTTACAGTTTGTCTAGCTTTGTTTTTAAAAAAAAGTATGAGTTCTGCTCCCTATTTTTCTCCTATACTATCTGGTACCAACTATTGTGACCCCAGGTAAAATGGTCTGTAGTGGTAGTCAGGCACCATCTAAATTTTCTGATCTTAAGATAGACGAGGCTGTGGCTCATGCACACTTGTTTCTTCTCTGCGCTTTTGGGTACCTTCTGATTGCTTTCTTTGGTCCTGGAAAGTAGAGACTCATAGTTGTGTCTTGGTCACTCACAGGCTTTTAAGATCCCAGATGCTACTCACTTCACTAAATGCCAATTGTGGTGTAGTGAATTACCTAACATCTCTTCTAGCCATAGTCTATATAATTCCCACTAAACAATGTTTCTGCCCTGCTGGGTCTGGGTTGGAGAAGATGGGAGAAGATACTGATAGGATGACATGATTCAGCTGTGGATATTAACAGAGTTAACTGTAACTGAAAACTTGGAACTCTAACGTGGGTTTAAAATGAGCTAGCTTAGAAGCAGGAGGGGGCAGCTCTCACTGCTATCAAAGAAGAAAGGTCAGGAGTGGAGCATGTCCTTTGGACCCAGAGAAGGAAGGAGTGGCAGGGGAGCAGCAGCAGTAGAACCAAGAACCAGATCACGAGACAGAGCAGTGGGCTTCCCAGCCGAGAGAGCAAGTAAAGCTGAATGACTTTGGGCAGGAAGTTTGCTTGGAGCAGGGTGCCTCCAGGCACTTAAGTGGAGTATCTAGGCTTGCAGACTGGCGGAGCTAGAGCCAAGTACCTTCAGGCTGAGGCTTATTGTGGAGTGGTGTGTTCTGTGGACATTTATTAACAACTGGCTGGAACAACTGTGCCCTAAACATTTTCTGACTCTTGTAACCTGTTAACTTCCCTAATAAACTCCATTATCTGTGAGCATTGTCTCTGAGTTCTGTGTGGTCACTGCAATGGATTATTGAACCTAACTGAGGAGTAGAGAAGGCTGTGGGAGGAATGGTTGGTGGCTCGTATTTTTGCACCAATTATGACTTTTATGAATATGACAGTTTACTTAGTTTTACCATGAGGCTATGATTCCTAAGCCTTACAAACTCAGAAAACCAATGTTGGATGATGTTTAGTTATGTCTGAGGAGTATCAGTATTTGTGTCTTCAATACATATATGTCCTGCACCCACATATTTATGTTAACACGTACCTATAGATATTTCTATCTGTTCTCACCTCTGTACACATCTGCACCTACCTATATACTAACTTGTCTACACCATCTGTATGTGCTCAGATGCTTGTCTATACCCATCCGTATGTGCCTAGATACTTGTCCACACCGATCCGTATGTGCTCAGACACTTACTTTCACTTTGGTTGTGCTGTGCTATTACACAAAAGTGTCACTTCTATCACCAAGATAAACTAGTCTTTTTGTTTTTCTTAAATATATTTAGCACCATGTCAGAAATTATCAATTTTTTGCATTATTCTGCCTATAAGCAAGACATTTCCTCCTGTTTTGTATTTGACTAGTCCTTCTCTTTTGATTCTGTGTGGTTTATTACTTACTTTTTATTTAACTTGGGGCCATTTTGTTACCTTTGCTTTTTTTACATTAAATTTTGTATTTTTGTTTTTGTAGGAAATTTTTTGATAGGATGCCCTGCTGGTACAGGGGGTAAGTTACTAACTGAAATATCACAGCCCAGACCCACCAGCTGGTCCTGAACACTCCCCCCTCACCCCACCCCACCCCCACACACACACAGCAGCTCTATGCAGCCTCACAAGGTAGCTATGAGTCATACTTGACACAGTAGAAACAGGCTTGGTATCTTCTACTGAGAACCACTAGAGGGCACTCTAGGGTTTTTTTCATTGCTGACTCACGAGTTCTGGATGTTTGATCTCTGAATTCAATACCCGTATAATGGAAAGGGATGGCTAGCTGATCACAGATACTGATTTAAGCGATAGAACTTGACTTTCCTGTGGCAAAGGTGGGGGCTTTCTATGTCTTTCCCATAGAGGTTCATTCATAGAGTACCACTGTGGGCTGTTTTCCTATGTGTTGTCCTGACAGTCAACAAGTGAATATTCCCCTTGTCCTACTACCTTTGCTGTTCCTAATGCTGAGCCTCAGAAAAATTCAACAGCACTGCAGTAGCACCACTGCCTCCCTTCTTGTGCTCTCTATTGCACAGCCCGCCAACTCCCACAGCCACTCTTCATGGCCTTAAAAAAAATTTAGGCTACAACTTCCTTTGCTGTGTTCCCTGTGTTCCCAGCCCCACCCCAAAATGGCTGTGAAGAGCAGCTGCTCCTGATATTAACAGGCAGGTTCTCCCAGCTTCTGTGCCATCCCCACCCCTCTTCTAGACTCATCCGGACTCTCCAACATCTCAGCTGATGTCCAGAGTTCTGAGATCTCATCACTCTGTGTTTGTTTTGATTAGTTGTTCAGTGGGTTCGTTGCTGTGGAGTAATTGGGAGCGTCTATTCACTTTGACATCTTATGCCACCCCTCTTCAAAAGTGTTTTATATTAAGATTAAACAAAGGAAAATACTCCTTAACTATTCCCACTGAATAAATTAACACCTGTTTATTAATGATTGGTTGGTGGTGGTTATGTGCCGTGGAGTCGGTTCCGACTCATAGGGACCCTGTACAGGGTTTCTGAGGCTGTAAATCTTTACGGGAGCAGAAAGCCTCATCTTTCTCCCATGGAGCGGCGGGTAGTTTCAAACTGCCGACCTCGAGGTTAGCAGCCCGATTAGTAACCCTAGGCTACCAGAGCTCCTGTTTATTAATGATAGCAAGTTAAAAACACTTGAAACCAGTGAAAAAATATGCACAAAGACTTCAGCAGCTGTAATGGCCAGAGCTGCCAACACTGTCCTACTGCATGCACTCAATCCACCATGTTGTAAAACACCTTCCTGTGCCCTGAAAGTCTGAGGGTTTAAAGATATGTGCGGAAGGGGGCCCATGGCAAGAAATAAGGAAAGCAGATAAGCCTAAAACATGATCTTGGTCATACATGTTATAAAAAACATAGAATTGCCTTGGTGGTGGAGAAGACACACATACACACAAAACCTCAGAAAATATAGAATATTAAGAGACTTAAAAGTTGGTAGAAGGTAATATAGATAAACAAAGGCAGATTAGACAAAAATTAATGGGTAATAGCTCCAAAAACTTTTAATTGTAAGGTGCCAAAAAGAAGTTCAACTTTTAATGTTTGTGTATGTATACTCATTAGTGGAGGTGGTGGTGGTTGTGTGCCACCAAGTCAGTAACGACTCATAGCAAACCTGTGTGGGGTTTCCAAGGCTGTGAATCTTTATGAGAGCAGAAAGTTTCATCTTTCTCTCACAAAGCAACTGGTAGATTTGAACTAGTGACCTTGTGGTTAGTAGCCCAGCTCATAATCCACTATACTACCAGGGCTCTTTATATTCATTGTTGTTGTTAAGTGCCGTCGAATCGATTCCAACCCATAACAACCCTGTAGAGGGTTTCCAAAGAGCAGCTGGTGAGCTTGAACCACTAACCTTTGCAATTCAAATGACTTTGCAGTCTGACGCATTAGCCCATAGCGCCAGACCAGGACTCCTTATATTTATTAGTAAAATGATAATGTATCAAGGTTTTACAAAGTCAAACACTTACACTTGGCTTCCACAAGACGATGATTCCTCAAGAAAAGGCATGTGATTTGTTGATCCAGAATTATGAGGAATGCTTGTATGAGTATTTGCAGCATCATGTATTATTCTCTGACTGGAGTCTTGGGGTGGGCTAGCAAAACTCGTCATGGAGGAATTATTAGATCCATTGCCTTTGTTCCCATTACACTGCTGACTGACTGCTGGCACCTCATTACCGAGGCTGTCCATTCCAATATTTAATTCACCAAGCTTTTGAATGGACCTATAAAAATAAAACAATTTAATTATTTTAATATAAAAATGTAATTACATTTTTTAACTTATAGATGAATAAAAGTTTGAGAAGGCAAATGCATGCACATATATCATCTATGGAAATTTTTATTATTAAAAAATTACCATCAACTCAATATGCTTAAAGTATATCCAAATTTTCCCATAAGACAACTCTACAAAGGAAATGGGTATAATGTGTATCATATACTTATTTTAAAGCACCTTTTGCTATAAAAACAGGTGGGGGAGATCTTGTTTCTTTATCAGTATCACTTTGGTTTAATTTCCAATTTAAAACTTAATCTCTAGGGACACTCCTGCATTGCTGGTGGGACTGCAAAATGGTCCAACCTCTCTGGAAAGCAATATGGCATTTCCTCAGAAGGATGAAAATAGAAATACCTTATGATCCAGTAATTCCTCTACTTGGTATTTACCCACAAGAAAAACAAACCACAACATGAGAAGATATATGCACACCAATGTTCATAGCAGCACTATTTACAATACCAAAAAGATGAAGACAGCCAAAATGCCCATCAACTGAAGAATGGATAAACAAACTGTGGTACATACACACAATGGAATACTATGCCACCCTGAAGAACAACAAGGAAGCCGCAAGCCACCGCATAACATGGATGAACCTTGAGGGCATTATGTTGAGTGAAATTAGTCAGTCACAAAAAGAGAAATACTGCATAGGACCACTACTGTAAAAGACTAAGAAAAAGAACCCATACTAAAGGGGGTGAGGGGGATTCTTTGTTGATTGCTGGGATGTTGGGGGTGGATGAGGGGAAGGAGGGGAAGGTGGAGCACAGGGCAGGGATTAGACACAGAATAGTTTGGGTGCTGGGGAAGGTGGCAATATACAAGAAGGGAGAGGGGAATGGAAGAACACAGCAGACGGGAGAACAATTAGGCAGGTTTGCATGGGCTAAGCAGGACAGAGGTAAAGAATGATGTATGGAACAACCTTGGAACAACTGTGGAACAACAGGGCTTGGGATACAAGGTTTGAGACATGGCTGGAAAGTGGAAAAGGGATGAAATAATGTTAAGATGCTTGGCTGTCTTTTGAATCTTGGTTTTCCTTGCATTATATTATAAAATAGACTGGAGGGGGAGAGAAAGGAATAGCCAGAAACATCACCATAGAAAGCCTGTAAGTCCGTCTTCTGCCTATAACTGATTGGAATACCTAAAATGGGGCTACAATGTGCCCAGTGAAGGAGGCTTCCTGCAGAGCCTCTGCAATACATAAGACTATAGGTGGAAGCCTGAACCACATCCAGATCTCCAGAAATGGGAAATTTCTACTTGAAAGGACGAGCAGACCAGCCTGGAGCGGCTAGAAGAACAGAAGATACTTCTTGAAAGAAAGACTGACAGGAAAAATATAAAACAACATAAGCAGACTGGCTGTTACTACAAGAACAACAAGCAAGTTGCTTGCCCAGGAAACATCAAGGCAAGTGATCGGGTCCCCTCAGTGCAAACTCCCTTCTGAGAATAAGACCCAATGGGAATACATACTCTGATTGGTGACCACACTCGTCACCGATAAGGGAAAGTGAGGAAAAAACAGCAATGAAGTGGCGAGCTAAGCCCTACAAAGTTCAATAGTCTCCTGTGAATCCGGGTGAAGACCTGGTTGTCCAGCAGTGTGCCAAGACCTGGGGACTCTTGGGCCCAGAGTCAGTGACATAGCCACAGAGGACTAGAATGGAGAGTGAAGCATCCAGCTGATAAGAAGAGAGGGCATATGCACAAGAACACCCACACTTACAGATAATACCCACTTGACCTGGCTTCAATGACTGGATGATCAGAGCTCAACCAGAAG